TCTGTGTGGAGTTTGCATGTTCTCCCTACGTTCTCGTGGGTTTCCTCCGTGTGCTCCGGTTTACCACGCAGTCCAAAGACATGTGGTACAGGTGAATTGGTTGGTTAAATTGTCCATACTGTATGAGTGTGTGTGAATGAATGTTTGTGGATGTTTCCCAGAGATGGGTTTCGGCTGAAAGGGCATCCGCTGCGTAAAAATGTGCTGGATAAGTTGGCGGTTCATTCTGCTGTGGCGAGCCCAGATTAATAAAGGGACTAAGCCGACAAGAAAATGAATGAATGAATAAACAGTTGTTTCAATATAATGTTAAAGCACACTTTCTAGGTGAATGTTTCGAATTTTTACTGCAAATGTCATGTCCATAACGCTGGAATCAGCACATTACATTTTTAAAAAGTAACTCAAATTTTATTACTTATTTTCCTAAATTAATGCATTACTTTACTTGTTAGAAAAGTAATATAATATAAATCAGTGTTACTTGTATAATGCATTACTCAACACTGCTAGTCCCATCAAACCATTACACATTTGTACAGCTTGATATAGCGTGAAAGATGTCTCTTACTGAAATATGTGGAAGAAAGTCCATACAAAAAATGTACGTTATTAAAAAAAATATTGATGCAGCTGGGGCGACACAGTGGTTTAGCACTGTTGCCTCACAGCAAAAGGGTCACTGGTTTGAGTCCCGGCTGGTCAGTTGGCATTTCTGTGCAGAATTAACATGTTCTTCCTGTGTTTACCAGTACTGGGGTTGCAGCTGGAAGGGCATCCGCTGGGAAAAACTCATGCTGTATAAGTTCATTCCACCGCATAAGCGGTTCATTCCACTGTGGCGACCCCTGATAAATAAAAGGAACTAAGTTGAAGTAAAATGAATGAATTGATGCAGTCATACATGCATATATTTACAAGCACTGGCATCTAGAGATTCTTCTCTCCACTGTTTCTCAGCATGTAGTATATTCAGGCCAATGAAGCATCCTTGTGGGGAAAAAATTACAACCACAAGCGGCACATCTTGACATATCAGTATGTTGTAGCCAACAGAGTGCAAACATTTGACATCACTCTTTGCTTGCCTAAAATAATGGCAGCCCCTTAGTAGCCTATGCAGTTAATGCGAAAAAAATGTTCTTTCATGATTCTCTCTCTCTCTCTCTCTTTACTACATATTTCAGTACACAGCAGTTACCTTTCTGTACACAACTACACAATTCTTAATAAACAGATTTAAAAAGGTCCGTTTTAAATATGTCCAGTGAAGTTCCTGCTGAATGCTGTAAAAAAATAAAAAAAAATAAAAAACTTCCTGCACAGTCACAGAGACTGATTTGAGGGGAGCTCAGTATCTGAGAACGTCCTTGTGATGTAGCTCAATGTGAACATCAAAGCCCATTACAAACACAGGCAGGAGAGCAGTACGGTAAGCTAAATTGATCCATCACCCGGCTGCAACTCGCCTGCCTATGGCTTTTTGAGTGGAGATGACAGCCATTTTTTGTAGTTAATAAGTCATTACAAAGAACCTGCTGCTCTGAAATGTGTGCGTGTTTGAGGGTACCCTGTATAGGATGTCCATGTGCACTGATGAAATCCACATAATATGTTGAGCCGAGAGTTTTGAAGTGATGTGTCAAAATGGTGGCAATTAATTTGGGCTGAAATCAATGTAATTTTCACACTGCCAGTCAGAAATTGAAGGTGCTGAAGAATTATGTGAATTATAATCATTGTATGAATTATTCGGGGCAGGGGAGATTAGGCCCATCTCCGACTGTCAAATAGAGGCCTTGTGTTACCATGGAAACCCCTGTCTGATAGGTATATAAAACTTTTAAGTAGCTAGTTAATTGAAATGAAACTTTTCAAATGCACGCACAAACTCTCTTGTTTGTTTACAGCCTGTGAGCCTTGGTGTCAAATGCAAACACTCCAGAGAGATAAATTGCGAATGTATGAGACGATACCAAATATGACTGTGTCTCCCTCTTTCGGTTCTCTTTGTAGGGATTATAGAGCGTCTAAAGGGTGGCAGAGCTGGGACTGATAAAGCAGCCTTGTTTCACACCAGCCTAATCCCCCTGTGTCAATACACAGATAAAGCTTTAAACGGGGAGTGCAAAAGAGAAAAGGTAAATATATCACAGCCTGGGTACTTCAGTCTTGGGGTGCAATTGGTAATAATAAGACAAACGCAGGCAGTGGAGATTACGGTGAGAGGCAGAAGTGGCAAGAAGAGACACTGTAATCACTATCCTTGCTGTGAAGAGCTAATACATTAGAAGCTTCTTAATATTAAATCAGTTGTCAGGTTTTTTTTAGACTCGTTTGCCATATTGACTACTTTTTGAATCAGTCGAAATGACTCTGATTTTCATTGACTGGCCTTATCTGTAAATAAATATTGCTCCACAGAACTAAATAATTGTAAGCAATATTGATTTGAGTTCAAATATTCTGTTAGCTCACCGAACACAAATGTTTTTGCAAAAAGCAAGAGGCATTTAGAAAAGATGAATGAGCTCAAACTGGATGAATATTTTATGGATATGTTACAGACAGTCTTACCAATTATTAGACTTCAATCTAAAACGCAATCCTCATGGCAATGAAATAAACAGCAACATTTCAGTACTACATTAACTGTTCAACTGCTCGTTAATGCAAATTTGTAATCAGCCAATCATATGGCAGCAACTCAATGCATTTAGGCATGTAGACAGTCAAGACAGTCAGCTGCAATTCAAACCGAGCATCAGAATGGGAAAGAAAGGTGATTTAAGCGACTTTGAATGTGGCATGGTTGTTGGTGCCAGATGGCTGGTCCGAGTATTTTAGAAACTGCAGATTTACTGGAATATTCATGCACAGCCATCTCTAGGGTTTACAGAGAATGGTTCGAAAAAGAAAAAATATCCAGTGAGCGGCAGTTCTGTGGGTGCAAATGCCTTCGCAAATGCCACTCCTATTAGCTAAGGACAGGAAACTGAGGCTACGATTCACACAGGCTCACCAAAACTGTAAAAATGTTGCCTGCTCTGATGAGTCTCAATTTCTGCTGCAACATCAGGATGGTAGCGTCATAATTTGGCATCAACAACATGAAAGGATGGGTCCATCCTGTCTTGTATCAACGGTTCAGGCTGGTGGTGGTGGTTTAAAATTTTCTTGGCACACTTTGGGCCCATTAGTACCAATTGAGCATCGTGTCAACACCACACCCTACCCGAATATTGTTGCTGACCATGTCCATCCCTTTCTGACCACATCCAGCAGGATAACGTGCCATGACTCATAAAGCGCCAGTCATCTCAGACTTGTTTCTTGAACATGACAATGAGTTTACTATACTTAAATGGTCTCCACAGTCCCCATATCTCAATCCCATAGCACACCTTTGGGATGTGGTGGTACAGGAGATTCACATCATGGATGTGCAGCCGACAAATCTGCAGCAACTGTGTGATGCCATCATGTCAATATGGAGCAAAATCTCTGAGGGTTATTTCCAGTATTGTTGAATCTATACCATGAAGGATTAAGGCAGTTCTGAAGGCAAAAGTGGGTCCAACCCTTTACTAGTAAAGGTGTACCTTATTATAAAGTGGTCGATGAGTGTATACAGAACTCTTATATTATATAAAAAAATTATATACATAGGTTTGTTTAAACAAAATCAACCATAAACACTAATGTCCACTAAATAAAGTAGACATACCATTTTCACACAAGCTTTATCACTGGATTTGCCTAAAAAAAGTTTAACTGAAAGTTATTCATTTTATTATTTCTAAGCTGAAAAAAAAGTTCCCTAGAAATGACCAATATGTTCTAAAGGTTGGGCTGAACCTTTTTCATGATGTCAGGACAACATAGCTGTTGACATTTTTCAGGAAAATCTTTTGTCCAAAAGTTCCTTTTTGGGTAAATTTTTCTGTCTTCAATGGGTGTTTGTCCCCTAACTTATTTTTCTCAATCTTAATGTATTTCCAGGAAGGCTTTTTTCTAATTCTGTTATTATAATACATGAAATATATTGATAATATATAATATATATATCATCTATGGCAATAGTATTTTTTCTGGCTCATTTCTAAACATTCCAACAATGTACTAAAACCTGCTAGCACATGTAACATACTAAAACGTGTTTTGAACATGTTAATAGTGTGTTAAAACATGTTAGCAACAAACAAGAATGTTAAAACCCTTTGCAAACATACTAAAACATTATAGGAATGTGTCAAAACAGGTTATTAACATGTGTGCTAATGTTATGTACTAATACATATTAGTAACATACTAAAACATGTAAACAAAGTGCTTCCAAAGTGTTAAAATGTGCTAGCAAAACTCTAAAACGTGTGTGTGTGTGCTAAAACATGTCAGTAACATACTGAAACATGCTAAAAAAGTGCTTCCAAAGTGTTATTATGTGCTAGCAACCTTTTTAAAACATGCTAGTGTGCTAACACATGTTAGTAACATACTGAAACATGCAAACAAAGTGCTTCCCAAGTGTTAAAATGTGCTAGCAACCTTTTAAAAACATGCTAGTGTGCTCCACATGTTAGTTACATACTGAAACATGCAAACAAAGTGCTTCCAAAATGTTAAAATGTGCTAGCAACATGCTAAAACATGCTGGTATGCTAAAACATGTTAGTAACATACTAAAACATGCAAATAAAGTGCTTCCAAAATGTTTAAATGTGCTAACATTCAAATAAAGTGCTTCCAAAATGTTTAAATGTGCTAGCAACATGCTAAAACATGCTGGTATGCTAAAACATGTTAGTAACATATTGAAACATGCTAACAAATTATAAATGAATACTTGTTACTTTAAAAAATATTAAAACTGTCTGGTTAAGCCTTCAAGCCAACATTACATATTATCTAAAACATTGAGTGTGAAATTTACCATGGCATTCATCCTGACCACTCTGATATTTTGTTGGGATATATCATATAGTAAGGAAGTAAGACACATCACTTACACCATAGACAAGCTCTCCTACCATCCCATTCCACATCATGGTCTCCGCATCTCTGGCTCCATATTTCCCATCAGCCACTATCTTGAGTATGTAGTGGTATCCCACATGTTTGGCGATCTCTGCTGCCAGTTCCACACAATAACCTTCATACTTATCGTTTCCTGTGAAATGTTCATGGTTCTTCTTCAGCATGACATATGGAGATTCCTAGGCAGCACACAATGGCAAAAAGCAATATATATTAAATGACAAATATTTACTGTATGTTTGTTTACAGATCTATTGGGATTCAAACATAAAAAGGTATAAATGACATTTATTTCCAATGCAAATCCACTGGTATTCAAATGGAAGTTCCGTTTTGTCATTTTCTTACGAGTGAATGGCAAGGTTTTCCATTTTGGTGCCTACATCTTAATAAAATTATTAAATTTATTTTATATACTTGTTAAAAAGCATATTAAGTTAGACACTTAATACGCATTTCAACAAGTACATAACATTTTTTGTTTATTAAATTTATTTAATGTTTACATTTTATGTATTCAATGTATTTAAATGTTATGTTTAAAATAACTTTTGTAAACATAAATTGTCAAAATAAAGGAGAAAAAAAGATCCATCGTGATTCAAAATAACAATAATGTAAATATGACAACATACTGTATTTGTTTTGACCTATATACCTACAAGTGATTTTGTTAAATTACAATTATGTACAATATTTCAAATATTAAAAAACATTTTCAAAAATATCTAAAATGCTTTGTCTGAACGATAGAGGCAAAACAGTGTGATTTAAAATGACAATTAATCATTATTGATGAAGATTGCAATGGGATTTTTAGAGTGTTTTAAAATGTCAACAAATGATTCATGTTCCAAATATATCTTACATGCTTTGTATTTAACCCATCTTACAATAAATTTGGTGACACTTTAGTTTAAGTATCAATTCTCACAATTAGCTAGTGTCTTGTTACCTGATTATTGTTAAGATATTGGCTGGTTATTTGTACTTATAAAGCATATTTTACATGATCTTATTCTACATCACTAATATTACCTAATGCCTAAATCTGGTAAAACTTTATTTTGATGGTCCATTTGAGTATCCATAGACCGTCTGCTTAATATCTGCTGATACTGCGCTTTCAACAGACATTTAACTGACTGTAAGAAACTTTGCAAGTACATGTCAACTTACACAAACCCTAATCCCAACCTAACAGTCTACTTATAATCGAATGAGAATTAGTTGACATGTAGATGTAATGTAACTTAAATTCAACAAACAGACCATCAAAATAAAGTGTGACCCTAAATCCTACTATTACCCTTAATAACTAGTAATAAGCAGCAAATTAGATTAAGTTAATTGAGGCAAAAGTCACAGTTAATGGTTTGTTAATTGCGAGACTTACCGAGAGTACCTTAAAACAAAGTGTGTACCCTTACACTTTAACTATGTTTTTAACTTCTGATTATCACCGTATAATACTATGATAGTCATTACTGATGCTTTACAATAGTAATTTCTGAAATAGACAGTTTTCATTTATTTCAGCAGACTCGCTGTAGCATTATGGAAACCATACTTTCAGACACAGAGAGCCACAGCAGGCAACAGTTGACAAAGCACACAAGAGAGTGGTTTGTTACTTAGAACTTGGGGATTTTGACAGGTTTATTTTTAGGTGGATTTCTTGAGAATCCGGGACAGACCTGGCAATCAGTCGTGTAGAAAGTGTAGGGTGATTCTATTTGTGGAGGGTCTGTAATATGAGTTAGCAGTTCAATTGTGATATTTCAGAAAAATTGGACGAGATTACAGCACAAACGGCACCTGGGGCCCAGCTGACATCTCACTCAGTAAAAGGACTTTTCTAAGGGAGCTCACAATGAAAAAAATAGCATGATAGAAAAAGGAGGAGAAATAGAAAAATATCAAAAGGTGACGTAAAGCGAAGCAAACTCATGGTCAAACAGCTTCTCAAGAAAACAAGCGAGTTTGATGTTTGTGTTTTCCTCATGGTGCACAACTGTGACTAAGCTGAAGAGTTTAGGAACACAAAATATTAAATAGATAAAATTATGGGTACAACAAAAAAAAGTGTTTTTTCTTAATAAAGACACGTAAGGAGATCATTTCAAGCAATTATCAGAATTCAAAACTTTAAGTAGCTCTGGAGACAAAAAGATAACTTAAGTGACCATTGTTCCTTCGATTTACCATTAGTAGGTGCACATTTTGAATTAGCCCTTAAATGAAAAAGCAAATAAACAAAAAAATAAATAAATAAATAAACAATGCATATACAGTTTAAGTCAGAATTATTAGCCCCCCTTTGAATTTTTATTTTCTTTTTTAAATGTTTCCCAAATGATGTTTAGCAAAGCAAGGAAAGTTTCACAGTATGTCTTATAATATGTTTTCTTCTTGAGAAAGTCTTATTTGTTTTATTTCGGCTAGAATAAAAGCTGTTTTTAATCTTTTAAAATCCATTTTAAGGACAAAATTATTAGCCACTTTAAGCTATTTATTTTTTTCGATAATCTACAGAACAAACCACTGTTATACAATAACTTGCCTATTTAGCCTAACCTGCCAAGTTCACCTAATTAGCCTAGTTAAGCCTTTAAATGTCACTTTAAGCTGTATAGAGGTGTCTTGAAAAATATCTAGTCAAATTATTTACTGTCATCATGGCAAAGATGAAATAAATCAGTTATTGGAAATGAGTTATTAAAACTATTAAATGTGTTGAAAAAAAAATCTCTCTATTAAACAGAAATTGGGGGGTGGAGGGGTGGAATAAACAAGGGGGATAATAAATCATTGGTGCTAATAATTCTGACCTCAACACATTTTACATATATCCATGTTGTATATGCATTGTGTTTTTTTAAACCCAGTATTAAGGCAGCCGATTCAAATGTTATCACTCGATTGAATGAACATTCTCAGAGGTTATCAGCTGATAGATATGGGCCAGTAGGGGCATTCTGGGGCTACTGGTAGGCACAGAAGGCTGTTATCATCCTTCTTTATGGTTAATCAGCTATAGATCACATACAGCAGTGGCCGGAAGTTAACGAGAATTATTTATACTATATATTTATACGTCTACCCCTACCCCAACCCTAAACCCAACCATCACAGTAATTTAAAAACAGACCTGGATCTGGAGTCCATACTCTATTAGCCATGTGGATGGATAACAACCTTCTGAGCCTGCCAGTAGGTGCAGAAGGCTCCTACTGGCCCATATCTATCAGCTGATACCCACTGATAAAACCCAGGCTTATTCTAAAAATGTAGCACTATATATATATTTCTGGAGAGCACCAAATATATCCCAGGAGATGTTTTTTTTTTTTTGCAGTTTTTGTTTCCGCGATTACCTCTGTGTATGTCTTTTGAGATCTGAAAATGTTCTTGTGAGTGCCATTTGTGCCTGCTCTTGAGTAAATCCTCCAAAAAAACACCCTCCTCTTTCCCTAAACCTAACCAATAGTGCTTTCAAAAGCACCGATTGACCTGCCCACCTCCTTCCCTAAACCCCCCAATAGGTTTAAAAAACAATTCAGAAAAAGAAAAGCCCTCGCCTGATTTTAACTACATTTTCAGATTTTATTACACTTGTTCTTTGCCATACTCGAACCATGTTGTCGTGGTCAACTCCAGTCCACCAGCGTACATGGCAAGCCACTGGACAAAATGGTAACAGCGGGAAAGCCATCCATGTGAAGGTAAGCGGTCAGCTGGTAAGTGCAAAGAGGGACAGCATCCATTAGCCCCGTAGCATCCATTTTAAACATGAAATGCAACCATAAGTACTTCTGGCTACATATTTCGCAATCTCCAGAAATCTATATATGCCTACGTTTTCAGAATAAGCCTATGTTGAAGACCTCTTAATGTTAGAAATATGATGTAATATGCTGTATTATGCATCATAAGCTGGTATAAAAGAATGAGCATACACAGTTTTCACAAAATCATGTTTTTGCAATAAACAAAGATAACATTTTCAAAAACATGCTCTTTGAAAAACATTTTCAAAAAAGTACTTTTTCAGTCGTCTAACATGGTGATGTTGTGTAAATGAACATCCATAAGGCAAAAAAAGTTTTCCAGTTTTAGTTGAAACGGTAGCATGAAAATGCCCCCTTAATCTCCAACAGGAACGCTTAAACTGTCAAGCCTCGCAAACCTCAAAGCACCAACTGTCTGAATACTGCATCATATATGCAAATGCTTCAGCACGACAAAACTTTTGAACCCAGCTGTGTTGCAGTGCATCTAAACAGACCTGAACAGCGGCACCACATTTCCTTCTAATACAGACCTCTGAGATGGCCTACACGCTGTCTTTCAGAGAAACAGATCATTCTTTGGAGCACCCGTGGTGATGTGACTATTCCCAGCCGCTCTGATAAACAGTCTCTGTAGGACAACCAGCATAGCTCAAACTATTTCCTGCAATCCATCCCACTCCCTTGTGAGCGCTTAGCCCCTAACCCACACCGATGATCCATTACTGCTCTTTTCCACATCAACTATTCCCCCCACGTTCTTCCATCGGGAGGCCAGTCCACTCACTCTGCCCTTTCTCTGGCTGGGCTAGTGATGGGCAGTCCACATATGAAAGGTTAATAAATGCCCTCTGAAGCCTAACTTGCGACAGAATCGCTAAAACGCAGACTAAGCCCAACAATCTCTGCCCAGCAAGGATAAAGAAAAGGAAAATTAATCTTTTGTCCACTGCTGGCAATTCAATCCAAGGTTCCCCTTTACGTTTAAGATGAAAACACTGTGGCTGGAGGAGCAATAATGTCTCATTTACAGACTGAGGACAGAAAAGCCTTCATGCTTTTATCTGCACAGAGCAGCATTACGGTCATACTGAAGGATAAAAGCATGAAGGGGATACATCAAGTATTCTAAAATGGGTAGGCCTGATTCAAGCAGCAACATCCAGCTTTCCCGCATGAAGCTAATACAAAAGTAACTGAAACTGCAATTCATCAAAATTCCGCTAGTCCTGGATCCAAAATAGAGCACATTTCTATTGATCCCAATGTTAAAGGGCCAATTTTACAGCATAAAAACAGGTGTTTACAGCCTGGTACAAAAAAGTGGAATTTTTTTGGGATGGGTTGCGGCTGGAAGGGCATCTGCTGCGTAAAAACTTGCTGGATAAGTTGGCGGTTCATTCCGCTGTGGCGACCCTGGATTAATAAAGGGACTAAGCCGACAAGAAAATGAATGAATTTTATTTTAACTCATTCGTTTTGTTTATATTAAGCTATGTTAAGTCTGCATAATTAAGGGCGTGGCCACTAGAATGACAGCTAGGTCTCGCTGGTCGCTGTCACCACCTCTGGCTGATTAGCTGCTGAACTCTGCATATACATCGTATTTTTCTTTTATTTTATGTGGCTTTTACACAGTTAATTGTCTTTTGGAATTTTTTCTTATAACTATCTGATAATATGGCATGCTGTGCGCTTAATTGTGCTCACAAACCATTCAAGTGGCCTCCATTTCCTAGGGGAGTGAAATTCTTATATACTTATATCGCATATATATACATTTATTTGTTTTATTTAAGATCATTATCATTCATAATTTTTTTAGGACTTGAATGCACTCCAGCATCTGAAAGATTGATTAGCTGTAGGTTATAAAACAGTCATCTGAAACGTTGTCATACAGCATTATGCCTGGATTTCATAAATAGCCGTGCATTTACTAACACAGACTATATTTGAAGTATTTAGCATTTTTCTCCTGTGCAGAGACATCATTAGAACAATGCTTAGTAGCTAAATGTATTACAACAGTGTTTTTAAAAGACTAAACACTTTATTGATATAGTATACAGCCAAGCACATGTGGTCACAACACAAACGAATCGCAGGTAATGAAGTATTAAGCGTTTCTCCCAACGAGAAGCCAGTCCAAGCAAAATGCTAGTCCTTTTTTGGTTACACCCAGTCGGCACGATAATGTCAAAACAACATGGAGACGTTTGGCCACACCCACTTGTAGCTTAATTTGCGCTCTTCAAAAACCTATGGGTGGCGACACGGATACTACATCCATATTTTTTGCAGTCTATGGTCTGAATTCCCATATTTTCATCTGACCAGTGTTACTTAGTTAAAACTATAAGCAAGCTACACTGAATTATGAACTGTTTGAACAAATTTATACAGTGTAAAAAATGTCTTATTGTTAGTGGTAAGTCAAAAGACACAACACTTTCAGATTATTGTGTCTGTCACTGCTAAGATAGCCCCTTTTTTGGTATTACTGAGATTGCAGCAGCACAGTTTAAATCATGCCTATTTGAATCCTAACAATTTGTATCACTAAACAAAGAGTTAAAAATATGTTAGTTAAGTTAGTATTTAAACTTACTCTGAGAAGACTAAACTCTATATTTTCCTGTGGCCTTACAATATGAATCAATTTATAAAACTCACAAAACACATTTTAAAAACTGGATGACGAGTAACTTGCTACTAATAAAATTAGAAACAAACAAAAAACTGATGTTTAGGGGACCCAAAATTTAAATAACAAAAACAAAACAAAGCAAAGCAAAAATATTGCCTAATGCTTGACAAATGCTCTGTCAAAGAACTCAGCTGTATTGTTCAATAGTAATTTGAAGGCTACATCTATAATGTATTTTTTTAACTTAATATCTCTAAACTACAACATATGCTCTTAATGACTTAAATCTATACACAAATTTTAGTAATAGCATACACATATAATGCACAATCGCAATATTAAAATTCAAACCCCATAAGGGATTGCTAAACTGCATTAATTAGGTAATCTGGAACTGGGAACAATTCCCAAAACAACATGGCCTCTATTCATATGTTAGTCTGTCTGTCTCTCTCTTCTCCTGAGGTTAACACAGCCACTTGGAACCGTTCCATATCCAGCCCAGATGGTAGACCTGCAATGAGGATGAGCTCTCCATGGTCAGCAAAGACACTGATTAGACAAGGTCTAAGGACTGATCCTCTGCAAAAAACTTCAGTGACCAGACAAATCCTCTACACAGTTCCCAAGGCCAGCTTCAATACATCACATCTGGGACCGGCTGAGACCTCAAGCTCTACCATAAAGGACACCCGTCATACTTTTATGATAGTCCACTATTGTTGGCTAAATTCACTGTTCATTTGTTGGTGTGAAAAGAAAGAGTTTGGGTTTCTTTCAACAATCACTTTTTGGGATGGGGTCTGGTGAATCACATAATTTACCATTTCACATTGAACTGAACTGGATTAACATAAAACTGACTTTATAACGATATTTATAAAGATGTCAGGATGTGAACAGACAACCAGAGTATATTGTGACTCAATGGATGTCATACATACAGTGTTTGCTTCACTTTAGACATTTTCGGCATAGGGAGCCAATTGTACTAGGGTGATAGACACACCTCATTTTGTGTTTTCAATGTGGTCTCATTGTGTACAGGTGTGCCTTATATTGGGGCCAATACCAAAAGACAAGCCTTTTCAATGTGGCATCAATTTCAACATTCTGTGGATATAAGAAGCTGGAATTGTCATTATGTTATTCCAAGTTCATCATTCAAACAACCATTAACACAACTTCACTTAGCGGACGCACAGCAGTGTCACCTGACCATGGCGGACCTTTGGGTCGATGGCAGGCGGTCAGATGTTGCTTGTGAACTTGGTGTGTCTCAAAGTGTCATCAGCAGACTTGCATCAAGACACAGAACTACTGGCAAGACACAGAACTACTGGTTGATGAAAGACCCAGAGGTGCAGCCCCACAAGTGACAGACCGCAACAATGACCACTACCTAGAAACCTCTGCACTCAGACATGCAACTGCCACACAGCTGCAGGCCCATTTATGAGATGTGAGGAGTACTAGGGTTTCTAGACAAACCAATCGCAACCAACTCCATGCTTTGGCTTGAATGCCAGATGACTGTTGCAGGTGACTTCACTGACAACGTTTGCAGTGGGCACAAAACCATATGACCTGTGGTCTACTGTCCTGGTAACTGATGAGGGTTGGGTCATCTTGAACGAAAAAGATGGTCATCAGAGTTGATGGAGAAGGCAATGTGAGCCAGGTCCCCAGGATTTGTTTTTTTGGAAACAGAATTTGTTCATCACCAGTCAGCGCAAAACAGATTTGGTTATTGTTGATTCAACCAGCACACCCCCAACTTTCAGTTCATGGATGATAATGCTCCTCCACATCGTGGAAGAATTGTCACAGCTCAACTTCAGGAAGTTGGAGTGCCTCATATGGTATGGCCATCAATGTTCCCTGAACTGAACCCCATAGAGCACGTCTGAGACCAGTTGAAGCAGAGACTGGACCTGGCAAAACTGAATGTAGCACTTGTGGAAGAGTGGAACGCATTGCCTTGGAACAACATCATGAGCCTGGTGGGGAGCATGAGACGTTGCTGTCAAGCTGTCATTGTCGCAAATGGTGGAAACACCCACTACTGACATTGTCAATTTTTGTTATTTGGGGTTATCCTTATTATCGTATTCATTTTTGGGGTAATGAATATTAAAGCAATGAAAATTGTGTTTATTCTTATACATTATTAATAATATCAAAGGAAACTTTTACTTATTTCTTTAAAATTCTGAGCAAATAGGAAAATTATGTAAATAATAATATCTCTAACTTGTTGTAAGTAGTGTATATGGTCACATTAAGGTACATTTCTCACTATTGACAAACCATTGACTATGAAATTTAGCTCAATAAACTCCTAATTTGCTGCATATTAATATATATAGGATAGTAGTTGGGTTTGGGTATTAGGGATGTAAAAAAAGATCATGCAGAATATGTCGTTTATAAGGACTAATAAACCTCTAATATCTTAATAATAGTCAAGTAATAAAACACTAGTTAATAGAGAGAATTTATCCTTATACTGAAGTGTCACCAAACATCTAAATAATCCTAAATTTGTGAATGGTAATATGACATACATTTCCTTTTTGACCAGGGACAAGTTTCAACCAGTATTCACATAAATGTATTAAAGAAGACATACCAGAATAGTGGTAACAATATATGTGCGGTTCTGAAGTCCGTAAGTCTCATTACTTCCCGGCATGTAGGCCGCCGTGCTCACAAATTTCTCATCCTCATTCCAGTAACCCACCTGAGAAAAGATCAAATCAGGGACAGGAACTTGAGCATCATCAGAAACCTTTCTGAGAATTCCCACAGGAGACTATACATAAACTACAGTACTCATTTAGTTGGACCCAAAGAAGCTGCTGAAACATTGACCGTACTGGAGCTTATTAAGTCTGTGAAGAAATTAATCTGAAAAGTGTAAAACAGTCAGTCATATCTAAAGGCTAATCCATTTTGTGATATTTAAGTACTTACTTTCTTTGGTCCCGTCGGCCTGAGCTCCATCACACTGATAGAGTAGTTTGTCCTTCGTCCTTTCTCGTTAAACTGAATGTGTCCTGTTAAGCCTTCAATCCGAACCTAGTAAAAAAAAAACACCCAGAAGATGTCTTTATTCAAACAAAAGAAATGACAGAGGTTCTTCTTTCGTTACTTTGCTCCTCAAGTATTTCTCTCTAGTACATGTCTCTCAGTGCCTCTTCTGTGTGTACAGTACTGAATGTCTCCCAGGCCGCATGATGGAGTTAATTGACCGAGCTGAACATCAATCTCCACAGCCTCTCAGCAGATGGACCAAATTGCCTCAGTCCAGCACACATCAGACTCTCATCAGACACAGCCGTGGGCATCTGTGATACAGAGCCTACCTCCACAAGAAGAATGCTACAAATTGACTTTACGACATTGATTGAACCTCTTCAGGCTTATATTTAGTGATGCACCGTGTTGATTTTTCACAGCTGACTTCGATTGTTGATCTCTTTACAAGCAAATTGGCTGATTCTAATAGGAATTTCTGATTTATTTCTTATATAACTGTAATTTGTTTTTTACAATTCATAATTATTTTAGATTGTATACTTTCAGAAAACACAATAATTAGTTTTTAGCTCTTCATTTCTGGTCTCTGTTATTGTTCCAATCTACAGTGTAGATTGTATGCAAGTCCAGAACATAAACTGTACAATAAAATTGTAGTTTAATTAAAAATTATATAAATAAAATTATAAATTAATGAATACATTTTAAATAGTAAATGTAAGTCTTGTTAGCGATTGTCATTTAGAGCATAAGCACAACAATTTAGATTGTGGTGCATTCCAACTTACGTTTAAGTTAAAGAAGAAACACAGAGGTGAAAAACGACTTCTGAAGCAAAGGACATTTTATTAGTGGGGGGCAAAGCAAGGCTTTATGAAACACTAAAACAGTCGAAGCAAATATGTCGAAGCTTCGAAACCAATCTCTGCAATGACACCTGGTGGTAATTTGTTTTTATTTTTGCACTTAAACAGCTTCAGCAAAAAACAGTTCTGCAGATTGAGGTATTTAACCCCACGTGGAAGAGTTTCAAGTGATTTAGTGGAGCAGTGAGCATTCCAGATTAACATGCAGAGATAATGGGTTTGAATCAAGGGTGTGCAGCTATAGATGTTAGTTTTTGTTTAACATTGGTCTGAATAAACACTTTGTGAATAAACATGTCTTGTTTTGGTAAAAAAAAGAGTACATTATTAAATTATATAATTAAAATAAAGTAATTGTACACGTGGGGATTCGAACTTGTGGCACACGCACAGTCCACAAGGCTACATGAGAGAGTTTTAATTTCCATTTTTGTTTTTACCCTGTTAGTCAAACGCAGATTCGCCAGTCCTTGAAAGGCTTCTGAAATGACCGATGCTTTGAAACACTTTAGTCACATGACCTGTGTGTTTCGAATCACCTTAGTCACGTGTTTTGGATCATGCTTCGATGCAGTGTTTCAAAACACTTTCGCTTCAGGATCTCGACACGGTATCGAATTGTCAGTTTCACGTCAACCATAACTACATTTTATAGGCTTCCATTAAAATCTGCAAGAACCGAAAGCTTCAACCATTTCTTAAATATTGTAATGTAGTTCCTAGCGAAACAAAGTAATAAATGAGCAAAAAGTGGGTGTGTGTTTTTTCTCCTGCAAGTTAATTGGATGTAGTATAAAAGACATTTCACTGAATTATGAAATATCAAAATATTGGAAAAGGGTTTTGGGAGAGTTATTACAACCTAACACATCTTCTCTTCACCATTTCTGTTTGTTGCCATAACACAGTCAAAACTGACAGCTTTAGGGGTGTGGTTAAGTATGTTAACCATGCCCAATACCTCAGACAGACCTAATCTGAGACTTTAACTAAAAACAAACAAGTGCATTTTTAGATTACAAGGGCAAACATATTTTTTATTTACTTAATGACATGCACAGATGTTCACCACAAAACTAGCAATGTGAGCTAATAAAATCAATATGCTTAGTTTTGATTTAATGTGTACTTTAAGTCAGATTTTGGTCTTTAGCCTTTTGAAATTATTCCACTTGAAAATCTGCCTGTATTGCACATTTAGAGCATCAACATAGTGACTTAGATTCTGGTCCCCAAATTAAATGTTTTAGTTAAATGGAGAAACACACAAGCAGAGGACATTTTACAGGCTTCAATTAAAGTCTGCATGAACCAAAACCTGCAACCTTTCTTTCTTTTTTTAAACTGTGATGTAGTTTCTAGAGAAACGGAATAATAAATGTGTGAGTATGAGTGGGCGTGGCTTGTTTTTTTCTACTGTAAGTTGACTGAATGTAGTAAAGTAGGCATTTTAATCAGAACAACCAGGAAAAGAGTTTTGGAAGAGTTATAACAAGGTAACAGACACCTCGTTTTCACCATTTCTGTTTGTTTCCCTAGCGCTGTCAAAATTGACAGTTGGAGGGTGTGATTAAGTATGTTAGCCACGCCCAAACTTCAGTCAGATGTAATTAAAGAATTTAACTAAAAACAAACAGGAAGTGCATTTTCAGATTTAAATTTTAGATTACAAACATTGTTATTTTCTTCTTAATGACATCCACAGATTAATTGTTCAGCACAAAACCAGCAATGTGAGCTAACAAAATCAATATGCTTAGTTTTACTTTCAGTCAGATTTTGTTTCTACTCAATGTCGCATGCCAAATTCAATCCTCAGTGTTTAATCTACACTTGAGGCGAAGAGACAAATATCTGCTAAAGAAAACCAGGTGTTCTTTGCCTCACATATTTCTTTATAAATATAACTTGTCGTTTGGTGTTATGACCAACATAAATGTTCATCGCCAAATGGCTTTGTTTATTATCTGCGGTGTCACATTCGATTGCGGTGGTCTTTTCGCTGAATCACGGTGAACTTTATGAAATAAAATAAAGGTCTAATTTGCTTATTAGGGTTTCATTTTGTGCACTCAGAATATATTAGAACAAGTGTCAGTCTTGTAGATGGGAAAGTTTGTGTTGGTGAGATTAAAAGTATGCCCGTGTTGAGTTGATACCTGTTGAAGCGCTCTCTGAATGTCAATGCCTTGGCCCCAGGGTGCCGGTGGGTTGGCCAGACATTCTCCAGCATTTCCGCGTCGAGATATATCTATCCTCTGCCTGCGGAGGTTCTGGAAAGCTGTGGACATGACTTTGACCCCATCATATGTGAGAGCTCCAGTGTACTGCATGGAGAATACAACAAGAAGGCAGAGACACATACAAGAAATAAATTATTTATTGTGTATGGAATACACCATAAATATTAGATTTTATATTTAATGAAATATTAAATACCAACTAGCAAAGATGCATGCATATTTATATTACATCAAGCCTATTAATTCTCATTCATTTTTTTATATTGCATATTCAATAAATATACTATACGATGACTGTAATATTATTAACTATTAAATATATACAAATGCACACATACTAACATGGCATATTTCCCTTTTAAGTTTTTTTTTTTTTTGTGATCTAGGCGCAAAGTCTAAAGTGTATGGCTATTTTAAGGACGGGAAAATTTGGCCCCAATTTGGCCTCTTTACTTTCTCTTTCTATTTAATTTTACTCTTTACTCCTTTACTTTCATGGTTAAGGAAAAAATCAGTTCTAATTTATAACGAAATATGGTCAAAAACAGTTATATCCAAACACACGTCCTATTCTTATGCCCCATATGGTCCAAATCCCGACAGGTGGACAAATCTTAACTTGTTTTTATTACAACAAATATAAATATGCTAAATATAAATATCTATATACATATATAAAATAATAAATAAATAAATAAATAAATAAATAAATAAATAAGTATATATACTACTACTAATAATAATAATAACAAGAACATTTTACAAAAGCAAACTATGATGAATCAATTGAAAAAAAAGTCCCTATGAGATGAAGGCATGGAGGAAGTGGTTTTTATATTTATGTACTAAATAACATTTTAATCCTTTATTATTATTATACTTTTTTTTTTCATATGTAAAGATATCTGTGTATTTCTGTACACACCGTTTGTACTAAGCAATGTGTAAGTGCTTTGGACCCACATAAGTGTACAACTTACACGTTCTGCCCTGAAGTTTAGACCGGATTTTAATTGGTCACTGGTGCAATCTATTTCAGTTCCTCAAAATAGCAACATGCCAACAATGCACCTTAACACACCTCCTTACTAGACCGCCACACCCATGAGTCCACAAAGTGGCACAAATTGATTTGCTGTTTAAACAATGTGACACAAAACATGAAAATTGGGGTTGTGCTGGTCTAAAAATTGCAACAAATTGCGCAGAACACATCTTGCACTTTATTAAGCTGGATGTATGATTGCCCAAGATGTTGTGACTGATTATTAGCATAACCCTTATGTTTGACACAATTCATTCTTCACATGGCAAATTGTTTGAATGTAGTCCATGGAGTGTCTCACCTTCAGTCTTCGCTTGGGAACTTTGGCATCTTTATTGTCAAACTCCATCCACTGCTGCACTGTCCTGCTGACATTAGGATCTGCGTAATTCACCAGCTGAAAGCCTGTTACATTCGCCTCACCCTTCTTAAACTCCGTCAGGTCAATGTCCAAAAATCCCTACCGAAAAACAGAGAACATGTTTACATGTTAACATAACATACTGTGATTTCACTTATGCTAAATCATACAGGGGTTCTTCACTAAACATACACTGTAAAACCCAAAAAGTTAAGATAATTCAAACGCTTTGAGGAAACTGAGGTATTTAATTTACTCATTACCTTCAACACTGAGTTGGCGGGGGATCAACTTATCTTTTTTATGTTCAATTCACTTATAATTTCTAAAACCTAATAAGCTAACTTGATTTCTTCATGTTATCCCAACAAATTGTTTGTTTAGAACCCAGAATTTTTAACAACGTAAACTTAAAGAGGAAGCAATCTGTTCTGTGCCACAATTGAACTTCCAACACAAGACATTTAAATCGACTGAATCCCTTTAGTCACGTGACCTTGGTGTTTCGGATCATGCTTTGGTGTAGTGTTTCGAAGCATTCGCGCTTCAGATCTTGACACTATGCCGAAATGTCAGTTTCACCTCAGCCCTCCCTACATTTTATAGACTTCTGTTAAAATCTGCATGAACTGAGTAAACAAGGAGTGTGGTTTGTTTTTCTACAGTGAGCCGATTGGATGTAGTATGGAAGGCATTTCTTCCAAAATATTGGAAAAGAGTTTTGGGAGAGTTATTACAAGCTAACACACAACTCCTCCTCACCATTTTTGTTTGATGCCATAACACAGTCAAAAGTGACAGTTGGAGGGGCTAATAAGCTAACTTGATTCCTTCATGTTATTCCAACACAAATTAATTGTGAGGAACCCAGCATTACAGTGTAAACTTAAAAGGGAAACCAATCTGTGCTAAAATGCAATGGCGAATCCCCGACGATTGCTAAAACTTCCAACATAAGACCCTGACAGGAAATCAAGGGAGTCATTTTCGCATTAATGTTTAGGTGCAGAGAGAGAGCATGAGGCCGGGCCTGTGGAGTGCAGTCAAATGTAATGTAGGGTTTAAAACTATAATAGAAAGAATGGTTGGGTCAATCGCTTAATGAAAAAGGCTAATCCCTTTCATCCACTGAGGCTGGTTATCCAAGAAAGCTCGGTTGTTATCCGATGTGGTGCTGGAAAATGCCGAAGCTTTGAGTAGGAATTTGAAGAAAGAACAGTAGCACATCTTGAGAGTTTGCCGGAGGTCTATCTTTGATCCCACAGGCTCTATTTAGTAATTCAAGGTCTTTTCCCCAAATCCAATCAGCTGAAGTAAGCTGCCCCAGAGCAGCCCACACACACCGTACCTGAGATCACAACGAACACAATCTAACTAGGGAACGTTTCATTTCATGCAGTCATAGCGCTTTACATTTTTCACATTTTTTTGATCTGCCTTATTTCAAAATGGATTAAATTCATTTATTTCCTCAAACTTCTACACACAATAGCCCATAATGACTATGTGAAAAAGATTTTTTAAATGGTTGCAAATTTATTAAAAATAAAAAAACCTGAAAAATCACATATACATAAGTATACACAGCCTTCACTCAATACTTTGTTGATGCATTTTTGACAGCAGTCTTTTTAAATATGATGCCACAAGTTTGGCACACCTGTCTTTGAGATTTTGCTCATTTCTCTTTGCAGTACCTCTCATGCTCTGTCAGGTTGGATGGGAAGCAAAGGTGTACAGACATTTTCAGATCTCTCCAGAGATGTTCAATAGGATTTAGTTCTGGGCTCAGGCTGGACCACTCAAGGACATTCACAGAGTTGTTGTGAAGCCCCTCTATTTATATTTTGGCGGTATGCTTTGGGTCATTGTCCTGCTGGAGGATGAACTGTCACCCCAGTCTGAGGTCAAGAGCATTCTGAAGCAGGTTTTTCTTATAGTTTGAGAGTCCACAAAAGAATGCTGGAGCTCTGATAGAGTGACCATCGGATTATTGATCACCTACCTGACTAAGGCCCTTTTCCCTTGATCACTCAGAAGAGTTCTGGTGGTTCCAAACATCTTCCACGGATGATGGAGGCCACTGTGCTTATTGGAACTTTCAGAGCAGCGGAAATTTTTCTTTAACCTTCCCCAGCCTTGTGCCTCAAGCAAATCTAATCCTGTCTCGGAGGTCTACAGACAATTCCTTTGTCTTCATGCTTGGCTTGTGCTTTGACATGGACTGTCAACCCCGGGACCTTATATAGACAGATGTATGCCTTTTCAAATCATGTCCAATCAACCAAACTCCAACTAAGGTACTGAAACATCTCAAGAATGATCAGTGGAAACAGAATGTACCTGAGCTCAATTCAGAGCTTCATGGAAAAGGCTGTGAATACTGATGTACATGTGATTTTTCAGCTTTTTTTTTTTTTTTATAAATTTGCAACAATTAAAAAAATATATTTTTCCACTTTGTTATTATAGGGTATTGTGTGTAGACTTTTGAGAAAATAAATAAATTTAATCCATTATGAAATAAGGCTGTAACATAAAAAATTGTGAAAAAAAGACTATGAATACTTTTCAGATGCACTGTATACTATTAAATAACATGATAACATGATTGTAATGCTAAATTTCATGCTTAAGTTTAGATAGTCAATCTCTTTATAAAGATATTGGTGTCTTGAATGTAGGTTGAAAAAACAGTGGTCACAAACAGTTGAAGTGTAGTGTTAACATAAACAGGTACCGTAAACAGCTACTGTAGAGTTTACATAATACGAACAGTCTCCCAATTGTAAACTAAAGGCTTGTTTATGTTTGACTCAGCACTGAATGTGTTGTAATGTGTTTGTTTTTGACTCAGCGTTGAGTGTAATAGTCTTTGTCAGGCTGTAAGTGCGCTGATCTTTGATTTTTTTTCATGTCTCCTAACACGTTTAATCCCTCAGGAGCGTGTCCCTGCGTTCCCTGTGAACATCTGCTCCATCGGGCAGCAAACAAGATTCACTGCGCTGCTGACATGACCCCACGCTAGTGTCTTACCTCGGTTGCCCTCACACACACAAACTCAAGGGAGTTTTTGTCCTTTTGTTACTTGTTAGATGCCTCAGAAGTGTGTGGGTGTACATTATGCTAGTCAGATTACTGTTTTATTTTTTTCATGGTGTCAGACTGTATGATAGAAATCTTGAGACATTTGTCGCATTTGACAGTGTCGACAGGGCAATCAATCATATCCTGTACTGACATCCTCGTTGACAGGACAGAAATGAAATAGCGCCATAGGCATGTCCCATATGCCAATGTTGACCCATATCAGTGGCTTGTTCATTTAAATACAGAGAGGGAGGGACAGTCAACCTAAATAGTATGGTGCCAACAACAATGAAGAGAAACATCCATCCATCCATCCATCCATCCATCCATCCATCCATCCATCCATCCATCCATCCATCCATCCATCCATCCATCCATCCATCCATCCATCCATCGATCTATCTATCTATCTATCTATCTATCTATCTATCTATCTATCTATCTATCTATCTATCTATCTATCTATCTATCTATCTATCTATCTATCTATCTATCTATCTATCTATCTATCTATCTATCTATCTATCTATCCACAGTTATTTTGTTGGGAAAAAGCAGCTAGTTAAAAAAATAACTAACTAATTAATTAATTCATTCAGTTTCGGGCATTTATAATGTATACATATTTCCCTCTATACCTAATATACTGACCAGTATATGATCATTTATTTATTTAGGGTCATTCAGTTAATAAATGAATGACCCTAAGCATCCCCTTGTGTTGCAACTCCCTGAATGCCCTCAATCCAAGGGTGAAATCCCTTACCCAATATAATAGTCTCCCAACTGTAACCTAGTGTTCCACAGGGACAACTCAAAGTCTCCTGTAACGTCAAATCAATTCTTAGAGGGAAGTGCTATCACACAGCTGGCCTCTGGGCCGAAGCGTCACACAAGCCCGTTTCACAGCCTCATCACTCTCTACGGTGAGAGTGAACAAGGCAATCAGAGACACACAGACTGTCTGCATCACTGCACATATTATGCCGGGCTGAAACTGAGCGCACAACTGGGACGCTTGTCATCACAAGCTCTCAAGTTTTAAATACGCCACATTCTTCTCTCAGTCAAGATGACTACAGTCTTTGGAGGCAATCAAGAGCTCATTCGACAAACAAAAGAGTTTTTATTTGAAATTAAAGGAGAAAACAAAGTCAAGCAGTTTGCAGAAAGAAGCTTTCACTGATTTCAAAAAGCGCAACGCTCATGAGGACTCTTCAGAAACTCTCATAAAGCTGTCACATCAAAAACAAATGCAGTTATTAAACTTTGTAGGAACAGAGAAGTTCAGATGTCTTAAAGGGATAGTTCACATAAAAAATAATATTTTTTCATCATTTGCTCATCTTGCTCATCAACTTGTTCCAACCTTGTTTGAGTTTCTTTTAGTTAACAGTGAAGAAGCAACTGCCATTGACTTCAATTATATTTTCTTGGTCCTTCTATGGATGTCAATAACAGCTTTTTACCATCATTCTTCAAAATATATTGTGTTGTGTTAAAAAAAAGGAATAAAATCTCAAAACGTTTAGTTTATTTGGGGGGAACTATTTCTTTCTACGTATATGCACTCCAAGGCTTCAAGTTTTGGGATACATAGACTAACTAGACCACAGGTGATGACTAAAACTAACAATACCAAGTCTTAAATAAATATAATATGATATAATGTGAAAATATTCTGTACTAATAATAAAATTTAAATAAAAATAAAAGCTAATTCATAATAATAATAAATGCCACAGTATAAAAATTGGTGAATCATTGTAAGAGGTTACTAATTTGTTGCTTTGTGGTTGCTAAGAAGTGTTGGGTAGTTTCTAAATGATTGGGGTCAGAAGCTAAGTGATTACTTCAATTTAATCAATAATTGCAATCAACAATGCTATAATCTACTAATGATAATAATAAACTGTTTACAATGTATGCCAATTATAACTTGAGAAGACAAACTCTTTAAAAAACAGGGGTACAACCTAGCAGACACACAACATCATAAGACATTAATTTAAGGTTAGATTTAGGTCACCAACGTCTAAGGACAATGTTATTTTGATGTCCAATAACAACGTGAAATGACAATGATATTTGGATGATTTTAGGTTGCCTGACGTTCAGTTCTGACATCAACCCTGACGTCAAAATACAAAATTCCACAAAACTGGGGTAAAACGTCAATCTGACATCATGTTGACATCCTGTGACTGCAGAGAATGTTGTGACAAAATAGTAAATTCACATGCAAAAATTCTGGCAATTGATTACTGCATTCATAAACTCAACAAATTGGGTGCGATTGGATGTCCTTTTCATCACTGAAAATAACAATCTGACACTAATCACTCAGTCGCATATTTCACGTTAATTGCAACAGCCATTACATATTTAATTCATTTATATTTAGTGCCCATCATTTTCCATCTTCAGGTGCCAAAAGATTAACTGGATATACTGCTTGCTTGCTGCCAGATTTATTAATTTAGCTAGTAAACTATAATGGTTCAGGAGAAGCTAGTAAAATAATAGCACTGTTTACATTAGCAATAGCAACTGCATTGACATGTGAGCAGTTGGAGAGTACAGATGAGGTAAACAGTGTGGCAGATGACCTGGTTAAACACACTAAGGGACTCGAGAGACTAAAACTAATGAAGAGAAGCGGGGAGGGAATGGGGGCAGAAGTCATTTAAGATGCTTCTGATTACAATAGCGATCTACTTTCTGAAGCGCTGCCTCAGCTCTGATTGGCCATGTCGTACTTTTTTTTTTTCTTTCGGTCAGCAGCATGTCTTCTGGCATTCCCTCTCATGTTGACTATCTGCTCTCATAGCAACAGTGACATCCTGTTTGCTGGAACAGGGCTCTGCTGATGATGTCCTTCACTTGTATGTGGCTGATAGAATTGATTTTTGGTTTTTGACGGATTTACTCAGTATTTGCCAGGTTTGTTCTTTCAGCGCAGGCTGATTATTCTCCAATTCAGGCGTAGGCGGTCCTCCCACTCCAGAACTAAAGTGAGGGCTTTTGCCCATCTGATCCTACACAAACTCACTATGAACAAAGAATGATTTAAGGATTGCAGGATTTTGGGTGAGACACCTGTGTACTCTTAATGCGTTTTTAAATCACGTTAGTTAAGCAGAGGACTTAGGATTAGTTAAACACAGAAATACAGAATGTGAACTATGGGGGAATTATCATCCACAGCCTCCATCTGTGTTATAAAGATATTTCCCAAATACTGAAAAAAGCTCTTTTTCTTTTTTCTTTTTTGTGTGTAAAAGAATGTATTTTTTTGTCTTTTTCTTTTTATTAAACAATTGTGTTTTGTATTGCCTAAATGTGATATATTAATTGAACTTCTACTCTTGAGTGTGATATGCTTTGCATACTGAAAAAGCATTTTTGCAGAAGTAGATAAAGCTGATAGAAATGCAAAGGCCTGATTGTTTAAAATAAACTCGAGCTCTACAGCTAAACTTCCTTTCAGCAGAAAAGTGTCTAAACTGAACACAGAATATGTGCAGTTGAGGAATCTTAAGCTTGTAATGTTGTGCGAATAATTCATAGAAAAAGAGGACGTATGTATGGGTGCGGCCAAAACCTCTCCTGACCTTTTTTATTGCACGTGCAAGGAATTGATTAATTATATCAACACTTACTATCACAGTCATGTTGTTCTAAATGTCTGATTAATTATTTAATAACTTCAATGGCAAATCTGTATCTACTGTAACTGAACAGACCAGATGTCCAAATTTGAATTCCAATTTTATTCAGAAGCTCTTAATTTGACCCAGATTTCATTTTGAACTGATTGTATTACAAATAATTTCTTTGTATTTCAGTTTCCACATCCATTTTAAGAGTTTTAAAGTACTACCTTGTAGCTCTATGTTAATCTTAATAGTTACTGTTCTTTTTGGGCTTTGTAAACCATATTGTTCTATTTATTTTAAGCACATACTGTACATTACTACATTTTTAGCAGATACTACACTGGAAAACAGCTTTAATTCATCCAATTTAAAATATTTAGGTTAATGGAACACATCTAAATTGTATCACTTTTATTCTCATTTTTTTCTAAACAAGCAGATATAGATTCCTATAAAATGTTCATTCATCCAATTAAAAAAATTAGGGTAATGGTTTCACATCTAAATTTGATCACTAGAGCCATTAAAAAATAAATTCATTTGCCTTAAAAAAAATTTTAAGACCATGAAAGTACAAAGCATATTGAGATTTTGTTTAATAAGCATGCACTGGCCTGGGTAAGACTTCCTCCACAAGTCCAAAGAAGTGATATAGGTGAATTTGGTAAGCTAAGTTGTCCGTAGTGTATAAGTGTGAATTAATGTATATAGATGTTTCCCAGTGATGGGTTCCAGCAGAAAGGGCATTCACTGCATAAAACATGCTGGATAAATTGGCGATTCATTCTGCTGTGGTGACCCCAGATTAATAAAGGGACCAAGTCGAAAAGAAAATGAATAAATATTATATTATATTATATTATATTATATTATATTATATTATATTATATTATATTATATTATATTATATTATATTATATTATATTACATTATATCTGTGCAAAAATTAAATTAAACTAAATTAAAAATAAAAAAGCTATACATCTTTAAAAACTCAGGTTAAAGATCACTTTTAAGTCAATTCAATTCAATCATCTAAAATCAATTTTAATAATAGATATCTGGATTTCGGAAAAGAAAATGATTGATATTAAAATCAATATGTCCTTATCCCTAGCCTCTCTTCTCTAATGTGCCTGTAGCAGGTGTCCGTATCGCCTGACTGAATGGATGGAGTTGTATCGTTTTCCGCTTGGTGTCCCTGTAAATGTGGTGCAGTGAGTTGGTGATGTTACTATAGAAACTAGCCTTCACCCAAAAGGCTTGGACGCAGAGGGGAAGCTTAGATGGGCATCCACTCACACACACACACACATACACTCTCACGTTCTCACATGCAAACACTGTGTAAACAGAATTGAGCTCTCCGTCATAGGACACGGGGAGTAATTTGCTCACTTCTTAAACAAAAATTGGCCATTATGGAAATAGCAGGCAGTTGCAAATCTTTATTGCTTTGCCACCTTTATCATTTATCATTTACAATTACATCTAACAAACCGGCCAGACCGCTTTAATTTAAAATCCTCAGCAGTGTGCCATCCAGGAACACAAGCAGCATATTAATGCCGCGATTATCATCATTTCTCTTTGAAATCAATTTAACCTCCTTTCTCATACATCGAGTGCACCTATACAGACTGCAGAAATCACTTGTATTTTTTTTATTTTCATATTCACAGAACAGTTCTTCAGGCTATGTTTATGTAAGAGCTCATCCGTTAGTCATAGTGAGTGGCTTCTTATGATTGGCCAGTAGTGGAAATATGCAAATCAGCTGTAATATCAAGAGTAGCAGTGACATTTGAAAGCCTCATGCGGAGGATTAGTCATGCGATCTCTCATAGTGAACACTGTGTTTTTTAGCTTACCAGGTTCGCTAGGATGTAGTGGTAGCTCTTCACATTCTTCCCCAGCTCGATGATCTGAAACAGACCAACAAATAAGGTGAGAAGTTACAGAATTCGTTTTGGTGCACACAGGAATATAAAAGCATGTTAGTGTCAGTCAAAAGACAGATATGAATAAATCACACTATTATGTCATATTTTTAAGGAAGACGTGTCAAAGATGGTGAAAAATTCATGTATTGGAAATGTATTTATAATTTAATAATTACCTTAACACCATTAAAAATAAAGAAATACATTTCTAAAAAAAAAAAAAAATAATAATAATAATAATAATACACATATAAATAAATAAAACAACGCTTTCAATTTTTACTTAATGACAATTATAATAATAATAACGAAAAAAATAACAACAACAATAATAACAATAATAATAATAATAATAATAATAATAATAATAAATAAAACAACACTTTAAAAATTTATTTTACTTGATGGCATTAATAATAATAATAATAATAATAATAATAACAATAATAATAATAATAATAATAATAATAATAAATAAAACAACACTTTCAAATTTTATTTTACTTAATGGCATTAATAATAATAATAATAAAAAAAAATAAATAAAAGAACACTTTTAAAATGTATTTTACTTAATGGCAATAATAATAATAATAATAATAATAATAATAATAATAATAATAATAATAATAATAATTAAATACACAAATAAAAATAACACTTTCAAAACTATTTTTACTGAATGAAAAACATAATAATACATAAATAATGAATATAATAATAAAAATAATAATAATAATAATAACTCAAATAAATACCTAAAAAATAAATAATACAAAGATAATAATAATAATAATAATAATAATAATAATAATAACTACTTTCAACATTAATTTATTCAATGACAACAGTAACAACAATAAAAAAGTAAAAAATAATAAAAAATATAAGAATAATTATAATAACATTAATATTGTCATGACTTACTCTCATATAAAGGCACAGGATTGCAGAAGTTATCAAAACACAAATATTTATTACCAATGTCACTTCCAGAAACAGTGGAATCACACGTGGGAACACAGAGGAAGACAATTCAATACCAGACAAGAAACTAAACTAACTTAAGGGTAATAAATATTAGGGACATGATTAAACTGATTACATAAAGGGGAGAGACACACAGGTGAACTCATGAAACAAACGACAGGCAGGAAAACTGAACAAGGGAATCACATGACCAAAACATAAGCATATGGTACAAAACAACACAGAACCTGACAAATATTATATGCAAAAATTAAATAAATAAAACAACACTTTCAAAATTTATTTTAATCAAAGGCTATAGTTGTTAAAAACAACAACAACAATAACAATAATCATTTTATAATAGTAATAAAAGTTTTATTTTCTTTTAACTTAATTTATTTTTATTGTCTATTAATTAATTTATTTTTTTTAGATTTTTACCTTATTCTGTACAAACCAAACTTAAGGTTTTATTTCCTTAAAAATGCATAAACGGACACAAGTTATGCCATCAATGCAGCGCAAATCAGTTTGGATAAAAGCATCTGCCAAATGCACGAAACATGTAACATTTAAATAATAACAACAACAATGGCATTTTCAATTGCGCACACCCACGGAATCGCCACAAATTGACAACAATCGCGGGCTTTCATCTTTATATTGACTTCAGGGTATTTCAGAATGAAGACGGCTATGTTTTCAGAGCAACAAAGAAGAAAGGAATGAAGAATTGTGATGTAGGTTTTCTTTTATGTGGCTATAGAGACAACAAAGCCTCTGCAGGCATGAAGAGCACAACAGTGAAGAAAAACAATGAGTCATGCGCTGACGGAGGAGGAACACATTAGCAGTTGTGTTGGCTACACTACACTGGCCGAGGGCCACAGTTTTAACCTGTGTGAATGGACGTCAGTGCGTAGAGCGCAAAGTCGATGCCCATCCATGACACAATTGACACCATTAAACTGGTTTATAGTTCTGCTACAATTAAAGTCAATTAAAGAATGAGGCAGGAGAAATTCTGAAATGGCAACAAGCACGCATGAAAATGATTCTGTGAGCAAACGGCATGTAGGTAGTTATTCGCTGAAGCTGTAAAAGATGACATTACTGTAGCTTGTGGCCATGACAGACAGTAGCATTAGTTATTTATGGTGAACCCAGTAAGTTTTCAACCGGCAGGCCAGCCCAGGGCATAGAACAATGCTGACAAGGACACAGCTTTTTTTTGTTATTCAGTGCTGAAATTCCAAAGGCGTTCTTTTGTAAAACTTCGAATAGTCTAGTGGAGGATCTTCCTTGTACTTTCATAGTAAATATTTCCACATCAAATGTTTATTGATAAAATGAAGGAAATGACTTTCAGAACTGGAATTGATTTTCAGAAAAAAGCCTTTTGTGCTCCTCACAAGTTTAATCCAAAATTAAAAACAGCAAAATCTGCATTAAAAGCCTTTTGCAGATTCCCATTATATTAGATTATTTTAGGGATGCAATACATTTAGGAATTTGCCTGAAAACAATAAAATTATAAGTAAACATTAAGGGGCTATGCTGTGCCACATTCCACTGAAGCTCTCTGATTTCACTCTTTCCTTAGTTATAGTCACTGCACAGTGTGAAGCAGCACTTACACTGGATGCAAACAGCACTGCGCTATGAAATCCATTCATTTCAATGGCTTGGGGTACTACAATGGCTGTTTGATGATGCATGGACCAAAGTACAAGAGCACAGAAGTGCAACATTGATTAGATTGTTCAAAGTTGCTCAAATGTTCTGCTCAGTGGATATTCTTCACATATAATTACTCCAGCATGAACCACACATGCTTACCAGAAACGCAAAGGCTGCTAAAATAACATGCAGACAGGGCATATGGTTCTATAGGTTCTATAGTTGTTTCTGATGCTTGCAATAGTACTACTGTACTTTCAAACAAAGCAAATCATAAAATCCTCGTGACTCGTTTACTCTCTGTGAAATTTATTTTTTAAATTGATTAATTTAGTAATTTAATTAATTGAAATTGAAATAATTTAAGTAAATAAATCCTTACAAAAGTATATTATTAAATAAAACATTATTACAAAGAATCAATAATCTTTAGTTTCAGCACAGAATTTGCATTTCGGTTTCCTAAGTTAAGTTTGATAAACTAATTTCGAGAGGAGCATGTGAAAGGATTGATCCTGGCTGATCTCTCATCCACAATCATTGGCAAACCAATCAGATTAATCCAGACCTACAATAAATAATCCACCTCTTGTTACTTTCCTTAACTTCATTTTTGTAAAAATCCCCCATCCACCCAATCTCCCCCTTCTTTTTCCTCCTCCTTTTCCAGGGGAAGCTCTCAAGAACTACCTGATCTTGGATCCCTTTACTTACTAATTGACCAGGCGGGAGCCCTGGACTCAATTATCTACGAGTTCAGGGTCCTCTTCTGCGACAGCATGCCAAACCTGCCATTAGTATCAAGCAATATCTGAGCGTAAACTCTTGAATTCCTCTTAAAATGACTGGATTTTGTTTGTGGGTAAATATGACCACATCTTGAAGAGACAGTTCACCCCAAAATGTAAAACTGTTCATTCACACTATGGGAAGATGCTGTGCGCTTACAAGTTGTTATATATGGTTCAACATTCAAGCTAATAATCTTCTTTAATGTTCTGCTGAAGAAACAGTCACTTTTCAATGACTTATCGGTAAGTAAATGAACACATTTTAAAGCTTAAAGATAGTAATACTACAATGACATAAAATCTGCAGCAGAAGCACATCTTGCAAAATGAACCAAAAAAGATGACATCATCTCTTGTTAATGCTGTACGCTCATGTTTGACATTAAAAAGCAATCTAGAAATAAAACTGTCCTCTTTTTTGGGAATACTGCTTGCCACTGATTTTGAAAAAGCTAGAAGAAATAATGATGTGATATATAAAGCTGCAGCCTTCAATTTCAAATAGAATCAAATTTCTTTGTCAGACTGCTGGGATAATTAAAAAAAGGGGAAAATATTTCTAAACTAAACCTTGCATGCTAAGAGAGCAGTTTTTCCTCAATTAAACTGCCTGGTCTCTGGTGTAAGTGTATGAATGTGAATCAAAGTATGGGGAAAATTACACCAATGTTGTTTTACGGTGTGATTTGTGGACGCGTGATGATGGATGATAGCTTTCAAAGTGGAAATTTTTTTGTCTAGACGTGCTGTGCAAATTGCTACCAAATGATGCAACGGCCTTAACTGCGGGGAATGTGCTATCAATAACACAACATGGTCTGTCGAGGGTCTTCGGTTTGAGTCATGAAATAGAGGGAAGGAAAGAAAGAGAAGAAAAGGCACGCTCTCATTAATTACAGTAACAGGACGCTTCCTCCTCCTCTAGGCAGCGGAGAAAGGTGACAGAGAAAGTGACGCGTCACTATGGCTCCACTGCCAACCCCAAATGTCAGCTCAGTGTTATTTATCTGCTCTGTCCTTGGCGCTCTATGAGACAGAGAGAGAGAGAGAGAGAGAGAGAGAGAGAGAGAGAGAGAGTGCGCACCCCTGTGCCTGTTGCATTTGTCACCCCATCTGATAAGAGCAGTCACAGACTTCAGTACTCCAGCGCTGAACTGCACTTTAAGTTGAGTCATCTGAGCCTGCAGATGCTTTCTTATGCATATTCATAATGGCATGGATATTAGCAGCCTAAATGGTGACTAACTAGCTGTCCTAATTGAAAGACAGGTTTAGGTGGTTTACAACTGTGGTAATTAGGGATAACAGGCATAATCAGAAACAATAACAACTAGAAGTGGCTGAACTGACCCCCAGTGTTTGATATTGATGATGTTCTGTGTTTTATCAGCCCTCATTTTTAAGATGAAAAAATAATAATATCAGCCCTCATTTTTGGCTACAGGCCAATCAAATCATTGAAAAAGGGGCTGTTTACAAACAACAAACATATATTCCAACTTGATTCTCTCATTTTTAATGGTCAAAGTGGAAATATTTGCCTTTATTTTATTTGAAAAGTAAAATTTATGATGGCAATGTAAAAGAATCAATAGCATTTTTTTGTCAAAATTTGCTGCTTGTCTAATTAGAGTAATTTATCAGATTTTTGCAATTCACAACTATTCCATTTTGCGACAATATTTGACCATTTTACAGTTTTAAACATATTATGCCAACAATGGAGACATGCTGGCTAATCAGAAGCCTCAATTTTATTATTGATTATTCCAATTCTCAATTATTATTATTGATTCCAGTTGGCTGTCAACAAGTACCGTTATTACAGTTTTTAGCTGTAATAAGTACTTTGTAATAAGTATTTTGATTACGTCGACCACATAAGACACAATACAAAGAAAATAATGACACAGACAAGCCAAAAACTCACTACAGGACTACACAGACCCCAATGTTTCAAAACAGTCTCCACCCTGATAAGAGTTTTTTTTTACTACGTTTTGCTTTCAGTGACTCGATACATCATTTGGATGTAAACTAATGATGAAAAAGCTGCGGTTTCGAAAATACCCATGTTTGTGAACAAAGCTTCAGATGTGTGTCTACACTGTAAAAATTCCTGGTTGTCTTACATTTTTAAGCTGAATCAAATTAAAGTTGTGGGTTCATTTAGTTTATATTATGTTTAACTGACTTAAAACAGCTTGTGTAACTTATAAAATTAAGTTAGAACATGACGAGCTTAGTTTAATAAGTTACAACAAACTAAAATATAAGCTATCATGACTAATTGTTCATATCATTTTTAACAGTGTACTTCATAATTTATCACAGAATTCCTTCTTATTATTTATGCTATGTCTTCATGGTTAAAGTGAAAACTGATATTTACATCTCTTTAAATGCAAATAAGCTGCTGATCCCCGCCCCCTTTCCAAGATAATGACGGCTTTACATCTTGGACCTTTTTGTGCTCAAATATGTGTAATAAAGGAAATACAACAAAGGACAATAAGGCCCCTTTCATTAATACAAATTTAAAAAAAGACCAATACCCTTTGCCAAAATAAGACTGGTTTCCCAGTTTAAGAAAAAAAATTCTCATTTTTGATCCAGAATTTGAATCCCAAGCACTCGAGAGAATATACTGGAAGCCAATTACCTTCTTCAGAATGGAGGTGAGTCTCTCCAGCTCACAGTCGATGATTATCTGGCCCTCCTTCTTTTTGTCCAGATCCTGGAACACTTTGAGAAAGGACGCCTCTGTCATTGTCTCCACGTTTACAGAGGTCACCAGCCAGTTATGCTCTGCTGCTGTGTCCAGAACCTTCTGCAGAACAGACAGTCCTGAAATACAAACAAAGAGGAAAAAATTAGTTTGCCAGAACTTGAGGTAATCAATTGCATTAAACGTTTTAAGTATAAAGGTCATTTTTGTTATTTATTTTATACAGCATTAAGAAGCAAGTGGACAAAGCTTTTCTGCAATGAGGCTATACTAGTTTTTGATTTTTCATCAGTTTTAGTTTTTATTTTCTTTTTTGACTTTTTGCTTTCAAATTCAGTGTTAATTAGTTTTTAGAGGTAGACGTACTAGTTTTTATTAGTTTCAAAAGTTTAAAATAGTTTAGTTTTAGTTTTTATTAGTTTCAGTATTAGTTTTAGTTTTTTTTTGTTTGTTGTGTTGGTAAAACTTTATTTTGATGCTACATTTGAGTATTGCTTAATAACAGACATTTAACCGACCATAAGAAACTTTGCAAGTACATGTCAACTTACACTAACCCTGACATTAACCCTAACCTAACAGTCTACTTACAATCTAGTGAAGTTTCACAAACTAATTTCGAGAGGAGCACGTGATATGATTGTGCACTGCAGGCCACTCATCCGTAATCAATAATAATCCAATCAGAATGATCCTAGCTTAATATAAATGGATCACTTTCTCCTTATTGCTCCTTATTTATCTTCTTTTTGGAAGAATCCCCTCTTCCACCCCATCTCCTCCTTTTTCTCCCCTTTTAAAGGGGGAGCGATCGAGACCTACCTGATCTCGGATCCCCTGATATGCTTCTAGACCGGGTGGGAGCCCTGGGCTCAAATATCTCCGAGCTCAGGGTTCTCTCCCGGGACAGCATGCCAAACCTGCTATAAATGCCAAGCATATCTAAGTGGGAACTCTTGAAATGAGAATTAGTAGCAATGTAACTTAAACATAAACACTGGAAAAAAATTCTTTTACCTAACAATGACTGTGCATTACAGTACTAACCAATTTATAAAATGGGCAACACAAATAATTAACAATCCAATGTGCAATACTGGTCTAAACAATCCATTTGTGCAATATTCTTTCCTTGATTGCAATTGTTACCTCAAATAATTTATAATGTGTTATTCAAACAATGCAGATGATGTCTAGGCCCTTTGCGTCTTTTTTCAGTAATATTAACTATGCTATGTTTTGTCTTGTCTTTACTACTTTGCAAATTTTGTAATGTTTACATATATTTGTTTACCTAGGGTTTGCATTGTTACATTGTAACTGTACAATGACAAGAACGATTCTATTCTATTCTATTCCTCATCTGTTTTGTTCAATTGTATTCTATTGTATTCTGTTCTATTCTATTCTATTCTATTCTATTCTGTTCTATTTCTGCTCTGTTCGATTTTTTCTATTCTATTCTATTCTATTCTATTCTATTCTATTCTATTCTATTCTATTCTATTCTATTCTATTCTATTCTATTCTATTCCAATCTATTCTATTCTGTTCTATTCTGTTCTGTTCTATTCTGTTCTATTGTATCCTCTTCTAATCTGTTCTAGTATGTTCTGTTCTATTCTATTCTACATTAGAAAGACGACTGGTTAATGTGAAACATCACATAAAACGTAATGTGTAAATAACAACGTGATGCAATGCCTGAGCCAATTCATTAAGAAGTCATTCAGAAGCAACTTGGGAGCTTTGTGGGACTCTAGTATTGACACTCTGTTATCTCCAGCCACCTCTGAGCATCTAAATGCCACTTTATTGGCTGCAAATGCAGAAAAAGCTGCCAGGAAGATCCAGAAAAGTGGAGAATGAGAGCCACGCTGTTCACAGACAGGAAATGGGCTTCGATTAGTGAAGACATTGATCTTGGCAGTGGACTCAGAGATGCATGTGTGCAACCTCAAAGGAGCAATCAACATTCTTTAAAAACCCCAACTAAAATCTCTAAATTAGAAACAGTGTGATTTGTAGCTATTAATAGGGACTAAACTAAAAAAAAAAATTAATGAATGAAATGTTAGCTCAATATAGCATTAAGTATAAGAATCTACTGTACATGTCTCACTCTTTACTACAGTATCTACAGTTTGGTTGATTTGAGACCACAGTACTGTAGCTGCAACCCAGTACTGGCAAATTACTCAATTCACCCATAGTGTATATCTTTGGACTGTGAGGGGAAACTGCAGCACCTGGAAGAGACAAACGCCAACACAGGAATTACATGCAAACACCACACAGAAATGGCTTAGCCAGGACTTGAACCAGTGACTTTCTTGCTGTGAGGCGATGGTGCTAACCACTGTGCCACAGTGCAGCCCCATTTTTTTTTTTTGCCTAACTTAGGGTTAATCATTTTGCAACAATTTTAATAATAATATTACAGATGAAATAAAGTTATAGAAGTAAAAATATTTTACATTTACAGTCAACTGACATTTAAAGTTTTAGCATTACCATATAATTTAAGTAGATTTTTGTAAAGTATGTTCAAATTGATAATACATGTTTTATACAGCAAAATATATATACTGGCAACCCGTGACACCATAAATATCGTCACAGTTGTTTATCAAATTAATCTCTGGCATTCAAACTTCCAGTTTTCTTGTGTGTGAGAAAGTGAGAGAGAGAGTGAGAGTGTGTATGTGTGTGTATGCACACTAACTGGCCACTTCATTAGGTACATCTTACACTTCAAAAAAATTTTTTTTGCTTGTTTAAAATACTTATTAAATAAGCTGAATCAACACAATTATTGAGATTTTCATTGGGACAACTTATGTTTTTATGTTCAATCCACATAATTTTTTAAAAGTGTTAAGTTAACTTAATCGACTTGTGTTGGGACAACTTGAATGAATTGTCTGGAACCCTGCATTTTTGGATTGAACAATGCAATCTCAACAATTGTGTTGTTTCAGCTCAATTCAAATAAGTAGTTTGAACGTGCAAAAAAAAAAAAAAAAAAAAAGTACCGTGTTGGACCCCCCTTTTGCCTTCAGAACTGCCTTAATCCTTTGTGACATACTGTAGATTTTACATGGTGCTGGAAATATTCCTCAAAGATTTTGCTCCATATTGACATGATAGCATCACGCAGTTGCTGCAGATTTATCGACTGCACATTCATGATGCGAATCTCCCATTCTACTACATCTCAATGGTGCTCTATCTGGTGACTGTGGAAGCCGTTTGAGTAAAGAGAACTGATTGTTCAAGAAGATGATTTGCTTTATGACACAGCATGTTATCCTGCTGGAAGTAGCCATCAGAAGATGGGTACACTGTGGTTATAAAGGGATGGACATGGTCAGCATTAAATCTTAGTTAGGCTGTGGCGTTGACACAATGCTCAGTGGGTACTAATGAGCCCAAAGTGTGCCAAAAAAATATCCCCCACACCATTACACCACCCCCACCAGCCTGAACCGTTAAAACCAAAGAGAATGCATCCATGCTTTCCGGTTGTTGATGCCAAATTTTGACCCAACCATTCAAATGTCACAGCAGAAATCAAGATTTATCAGACCAGGCAACACTTTTCCAATCTTCCATTGTCCAATTTTGGTAAGCTTGGGTGAATTGTTGCCTCAGTTTCCTGTTCTCAACTGACAGGAGTGGCATCCGATGTGGTCTTCTGCTGCTGTAGCCCATTTATCTCAAGGTTGGAGGTTTTGTGTGTTCAGAGATGATTTTCTGCATACCTCGGTTGTAAAGAGTGGATATTTGACCTACTGTTGCCTTTCTATCAGCACGAACCACTCTGGCCATTCTCCTCTGACCTCTGGCATCAACAAGGCATTTGTGCCCACAGAACTGCTGCTGTTTTCTCTTTTTCTGACCATTCTCTGTAAAGCCTAGAGATAGTTGTGCATGAACATCCCAGTAGATCAGCACTTTCTGAAATACTCAGACCAGCCTGTCTGGTACCAACAACCATGCCATGTTCAAAGTCACTTAAATCACCCCTCTTCCCCATTCTGATGCTCGGTTTGAACTGCAGCAGATCATCTTGACCATGTCCATGCTGTCATGTGATTGTGATTGGTTGATTAGAAATTTGCATTAACGAGCAGTTAGACAGGTGTACCTAATAAAGTGGTTGGTGAGTTTATATATATATATATATATATATATATATATATATATATATATATATATATATGTGTGTGTGTGTGTGTGTGTGTGTGTGTGTGTGTTTGTTTGTTTATTTTAGAATACATTCAACCTTGATGAGTCTTGGTTTAAAAAAAACAGCATAAAAACCTGCTAAAATCTTTTATACTGGATGAGAACAAATATTTAGTTACTGTAAAAAAGAAAAGAAAACGCTGCTACCAACTTATTAGATCTGCCTTCATAAGTCCCACCTTGGTCTTATAACATAGTGCCAATAGCAGTAGCTTCATCTCTCCCATAAGAACGGAACCGTTGTGAAGGGTCATCTGATCGCATGACTTGATGACAGCTGAAAGCACAAGCGCACATGATTGCTCTTATTATGCTGCGGCTGAGAGCAGCTTATGCTTCTTGTGTTCTCAGTACTCCAGCACCACGGCCAGCTCCTCCAAACGCATCAAACCTCTCCAAACACTTAACCGCATGCTTCCACAGCCATCTATGCTTTTTGCTTTGCGAGTACTTCACAAAACAAGCCCAAGTTTATCAAAGTAACATCACAAGCCCCAAATCCTGCTCAAAAACTGACTACGTAAGCCTCTGCCTATAAATTAAGGCAAGCCATACAAAGAAACAAAGAACACAGCAGCTCCCCTGTGAGTATTTATATGGAAATTGTTTATGAAATGTTTAATGGTCTTACTCAGGTTTGTTTTATGTTTTGATTCCAAGGAAAACAAGAATGCTCTCAAACGTTGCCTCCTTTGTTTTAATGCAACACCACACAGCTGTTGCATGAGCTGTAATTAAAAGGAGAGCAATGACAAGGATGCACACTTTATAATTTATGGAACCAATGGATCCCGCAGCAGAGATAACAGGAATAAATGTATCATTTATGGGGTGGGATGGACCACAAAATAAATCACGGGAAGCAGCAGCTG